CAGAGAGAACATTACACAACTCAACAACATATGGCTTTAACAATAAAGGAAGAAGAACCTTTGGAACTCACTTGTCCTTAACAGTGCCCTGTAGGCTATAGAAATCAGGAAATCCTTGAAGTCTTGCGTTCTCACGGACTGTCAGAACACGGTCTTGCAACGGGTGAATTATACGCTGTAGAAAATCGGATTTAAATACACAGAGGAATTCAGTACAAGGTAGAGACCAAAAACAGATTCAATGTGCATATAGAAGAAGACGAAACCTGGTTGTGTGGTTCAGCACGCGTCACAACCGTGTTAACAATCTCATCCCAGTACAACCGACCAAATGGCCTTGAGTTACCAAATAGCAGATGAACAATTTTAGTGAGAAAAGGGTCATTTAAATGGAGTCCATGAGAAAGATGTCGTTAGTGAACATTACTTTAGAGATTTGCCATCTTTATAAGACAATGCGTACTCAGGAATCTGGGAGAAAAGACAGAATTTATCATTGATAAAGCTGCAAAAAAAAAGATATTGGAAAAAGCATATAAAAAGAAGAAGATAATTCATAAGAGTGGGCATAGATTTTTTCTGTACCAAAGGCTTTCCAGACTTCACTGTTGCTCTCTCAACCGAAGGGTCAAGTTGGACAACATTATTCTCAAGTATTATTACACCTCCCAAGTCTCTGAAATTTGCACCCTGTGAGCAATAAAAATGGTAATGGACATGAACAGTTAGATTTACATGTTGATTGCTTGAAGTTGGACACTATGAGATTACAATCCATCTATATGTTTTGTACCTTCTTCTTTGGAATCTTGCATACCCTCTCGTAGTCGTCAGCATTCAACCGTTTAGGTTGATGATCATATAAAATTTGAGGCTGTGATTTGTCTCCACCATCCATTGAGATTAATGTATCTAAAACCAGAACATCCGTAGTTGATTAGGAACTATTTGTAATAATATTAGACACATGGTAACGCAAAATCTACAAATTTCAAGAGGCTCACCAGATCTTTTGAGTCTAATAAACTTCTGAAAATCTGTCGTGTACTCTCTTTCGTCTTCTTTCACATAATTGGTCACCTGTTACATATAGGCATAATGTTTATTGTTTACGTTTAAATTCACTAGGCAGAAGTAAATTTGGACTGCAACAAAATCACTTAAGCAAATAATTTACACACCGGAGGCAGATCACGAATTGCATCTCCAAGATCAAGAGGCGGTTCCAACTCATCTAGCTGGTTTGAATTAACTCCCCACTTTTGAATCCTGCAATTAAAACGAATTCATTAGCTATGCGGTAATGTAGAAGTGAAAGTGCAGACTCTCCCAATTTTTTTTAAAAAGGCTTACCTCAAACTTTTTCATGATGACATTTTTGTTTTTAACTTTGTGAGTCGGCAACGGAAATGGAGGCAATTTCTGTTGACCAATGTATAAAAAGATGATAAGCTCATGTCATATATGACATCTAAATATTACATGTCATATAAGAAGACCCGATTCCTACATTGAGGAACTCCATAAGAACCTGCTGCCATTATCCCGAGTCTTGTCTGATAGTTGATGTTTACAAGACGTGCTATAGCATAACGAGCAAGAAATCCTTCGGAGAACTTCACGAGGTCCACAACATTCTCCATCAAGACATAGTTGGGCTTCAAAAAATCTATAATGTCCATGTAAACGACCAACTGCCAATTTTTCTTATCTGCAAATGGATCTTCTGGGTTTCTAAATCGATTAAAACCGCTGATGCCTTGACATGGAGGACCTCCACACACAATATGCACGTCTTCCTGGAAAAACAACGTGGAAAAATTTATGAGAAAGTGAAAACCATAAAATAGTTTGAAGAAAACCAAACATAGTAAGATGACTTACTCGAAGTGGCAATAACTTTGACTTGAAACCTTTTGTTACAAACTCCCTCAGTTTGTCTTTGCATTGCCTGAAGAAATCATTTTCAAATTTAAGACCAATATGTAAAGGACAAATCAACAAAGCGAAAAACCTTACCGTAACCCATCATAAGGCTCCCAAGTATCTTCATCTGAACCATAACCTTTCCAACGCACCTAAAGAAGAATGCAACAAAAGTAAATTTGATGGTTAAGTTAACATCTTAGAAAAATATAATTAAGGCTACATACACCAAATAAATATTTTTCATCTACAACCAAATAGATAGTACCTTAAAATGAAGCGCAGATGCAAATTCATTAACATTATTGGGATTCCCGTAACAAATGGAGAGTAACTCTCCAACCTCGAATTCATCAGGTGGCATTTCAGATCCATCACTCTCCTCTTCTAAAAT